CTTTGGGAGGCTGAGGTGGGCAGATCACCTGAGGTCAGGAGTTCAAGACCAGCCTGACCAATACTGTGAAACCCCATCTCTATTAAAAATACAAAGTTAGCCAGGCATGGTGGTGCGTGCCTGTAATCCCAGCTACTCGGTAGGCTGAGGCAGGAGAATCACTTGATCCGGGAGGCAGAGGTTGCGGTGAGCCAAGATGGTGCCATTGCACCTTAGCCTGGGCGAAAAGAGAAATTCCACCTCAAAAAAAAAAAAAAAAAAAAAGAGAGAGAGAGAGAGAAGAGAAGGGCAGGGAGGATGGAGAGGAGGGGATGGATCCCCCAGATAGTCAGGAAACAGAATTGATGGTGCTGGGATGCAGACTGGATGTGGGAAGTAGGGGGAAGGAGGCAGTGTGCTCAGGATGCCAGCTGGGTGATGGGGTCCAGAGGGACAACCCTGGGAGATGGGCGTGACAGGAAATGTTGTTTCCACAGATGGGGAAACCAAGTCTCCAAGAAGTGAAACACACAGGACATGGATGGGGGCTAAGTACCACATTAAGTGTCACTGGGTGTACAGGAGGGTTTCTGAGCCCATGGGGCCCCAACACCACCCTCCTTGCTCCTGTGGGGAGGCTGCCAGGTTTAGAATCTGCACACTTAGACCAGCTCCAAAACTGAGCTGCTGTTATCAGAATCTCCTTCCATCATAACAGGACTTATTCACCTCTAAGGCCCTGGCTTTCTTACCTGTAAAGTGAAGAGGCTGAGAAGTATTGGAAGTCAAGGTCTGTTCATAAGGCTTGGAATCTTGCCAGACTGGGGTTCCTCTGGCTGTCATCCCCAAGTCTTCCTTGCTGGTGTTCTAGGGCTTAGCACAGGGATCCCCCCACCTCATCTTCACTCAGTCCCTGGAACAGCACATCTCAAACTTGAATATGCACAGAAATCACATGTAGATCTTGTTATAACATAGAGTCCTATTAATCAGGTTTGGAGGCAGGGCTGAGACTCAGCACTTCTACTCGGCTCCCAGATGATGCTGATCCTGCTGGTCTGTGGACCACACTCTGAGAAGCCCAGTCTCTTGGCTTTGCAAACTTTCTCCGGGCTAATGACTCCCAAACTTATATTTCCAGTCCAGATCTCTCCAACTTCTTTTTTTTTTTTTTCTTTTTTTGAGATGGAGTTTTGCTCTTGTTGCCTGGGCTGGAATGCAATGGTGTGATCTCGGCTCACCGCAACCTCTGCCTCCTGGGTTCAAGCAATTCTCCTGCCTCAGCCTCTTGAGTAGCTGGGATTACAGGCATGCATCACCATGCCCGGCTAATTTTGTATTTTTAGTAGAGATGGTGTTTCTCCATGTTGGTCAGGCTGGTCTTGAACTCCCAACCTCAGGTGATCTGCCCACCTCAGCCTTCCAAACTGTTGGGATTACAGGCATGAACCACCACGCCCAGTCTAGAACTCCAATTTCTAGTTACAACTCTTATTTGACATCTCCATTTGGATATTTAAAGGTTACCTTCCAGAGAGCTTCCAAAGTAGCTCTTTCCTCAAACCTACTCCTCTCCAATGCTTCCTCCAAAACTCTTTCCCCCAAAATCTAGAAGATGTCTTTCAATCTCCTTTCACTTATCCTCTGCATGCAAACTGCCAGCAAGTGCTATCTACTTTACCTCCAAAGCATATCCTGACCCCGTCCACTGCATGGAGTAGAGATGACCCCCACTCCACCACCCTATCCAAGCCACATCTCTTGCCTGTGCTGCTATAGTAGCCACCAACTTGGTCATCCTGCTTCCCTCCTGCCTCCCCTCCCGGCCCAAATACTCTACAGAGCAGTCAGAGAAATCTTATTTTTTGAGACAGTCTCATTCTGTCACCCAGGCTGAAGTGCAGTGGCATGATCACCACTCAGAGGCAACCTCTGCCTCCCAGGTTCAAGCAATTCTCCTGCCTCAGCCTTGTGAGTTGCTGGGACTACAGGTGTGCACCACCATACCCAGCTAATTTTTGTATTTTTAGTAGAGACAGAGTTTCACCATGCTGGCCAGGCTGGTCTTGAACTCCTGACCTCAAGTGATCTGCTTGCTTTGGCCTCCCAAAGTGCTGGGATTAATTAAACTCTTTTTTTTTTTTTCTAGGATGTTGAAAAGTAAAAAAAGGAGAGAAGGAGAGGAAGAAAGAGGAAGAAAAAGAGGGAGAGAGAACAGGAATATTGCTTCATTCTAAAAATGGGTATTAATAATGGCCAATCAATATTTTGTGTATTTAAAATGGAGAACTCTATAAATATTTATTGAGTTTACTTGTTCTGGATCTGAATTGAAGTCCTGGATATCTTTATTAATTTTCTGTCTCGTTGAGTCTAAATCTCGTTATGGGTCTTATGTATCTGGGTATTAAGATCTCTTATTGTTGCATTGATCCTTTTACCACTGTGTCTTTGTTGCTTTGAAATCTATTTTATCAAATGTGAGAATTGCAACTCCTGCTTTTTATTTATTTATTTTTGCTCTCCATTTGGTTGGTAAATTTTTCTCCAACCCTTTGAGTCTTTGTGTATCTTTGGATATACCGTTAGGTTTTGGCTGTATCTTTTGACTGGGGGATTTAGTTGATTTAAATTTAGGGTTACTGCCATTTGATGTTAACTGGCTATTTTATCCATTCGTTGATGTAACTTCTTTATGTTGATGCTCTTTCCTTTTTGGTATATTTTTAGAAAGGCTCATACTGGTTGTTCCTTTCTATGTATAATGCTTCTTTCAGAAGTTCTTGTAAAGCAGGCCTGGTGGTAATAAAATCTCTGAGTACTTGCTTTTTCATAAAAGACTTTATTTTTCCTTCAATTGTGAAGCTTAGTTTGGCAGGATATGAGATTCTAGGCTGAAAGTTCTGTTCTTTAAGTATGTTGAATATTGGCCCCCACTCTCTTCTGGCTTGTAGGGTTTCCGCTGAGAGATCTGCTGTAAGTCTAATAGGCTTCCCTTTATGTGTAACCTGGCCTTTCTCTCTGGCTGCCCTTAGTATTTTCTCCTTTGTTTCGATCCTGGTGAATCTAACAATTATGTGCCTTGGGGTTGGTCTTCTTGAGGAATATCTTTGTGGTGTTCTCTGTATTACCTGGGGTTGAATAGTGTCCTGCTTTGCTAGATTGGGAAAATTTTCCTGGATAATATCCTCAAAAGTATTTTCCAGCTTGGATTCATTCTCTCCATCACATTCAGGTACACCAATCAAGCGTATATTAGGTCTTTTCACATAGTCCCATATTTCTTGGAGACTTTGCTCATTCCTTTTCATACTTTTTTCTCTATTCTTGTCTTGTCGTTTTATTTCATTAAGTTGGTCTTCGACCTCTGATATCCTTTCTTCTGCTTGATCCATTCTGCTATTTAAACTTGTGCATATTTCACTAAGTTCTCATGTTGTATTTTTCAACTCCGTTAGTTCATTTATATTCCTCTCTATATTGTCTATTCTTTTCAGCATTTTGTCAAACCTTTTTTCAGAGTTCTTAGTTTCTTTACATTGGGTTAGAACAAGTTCTTTTAATTCCCAGAAGTTTCTTATCATCCACCTTCTGAAGCCTACTTCAGATAATGGAACACAGTCCTTTTCCATCAGGGCTTGTTCCGTTGCTGATGAGGAACTGCAATCCCCTGTAGAGGGAGAGGGGTTCTGATTTTGGGTATGCTCGGCCTTCTTAGGCTGGTTTTTTCCCTTTATTATAAATTTATCCATCTGTCATCTTTACAATTACCGCCTTTCTAATTAGGTTTCTGAGTCGATGTCCAATTTATTGATTCCCAGTGCTGGGATTCAAGCAACCCACTGCGCCGGCCAAAATAGCAGCGATAAGACTGATGGTGCTCTTCTGCCCGGGAATCTCTGGTCTGGCTTCCTTCTTGAGTCCGCAACAAGCGGCTCTGCCTTCCCGGAACTCCAAACACCGGTCAGTAAGGGAACCAGTCCCGTTTACTCTGCATGAAGAGCTGCCACGCCAAGGCGCCAGCAAAACTGCTGTGCCGGCCACAAGAGTCGCGCTGGCGACCCGTGGGGCTCCTCCACTAGAAATCTGCTGGTCTGTGAGCGACGAAAATTCGTCTGAAAGTGTGGCATCCTCTCGGTCTCTGAGCTTTCACTGGGAGCTACAATCCTGAGCTGTTAGTGATCAGCCATCTTGGATCTCTCTCCAATTAAACTCTTTTAGGAGCTTGCACCTCACTTAGAATTAAATGGATGTCTAATCCTGGCCTACAATGCCTAGCACAACTGGCCTCTGCTTCCTTTCCAGCTGCGTCTTGGGCAAACGCCTGGCTCTGGGGTCACAGCTATATCAACCACTCATCCCAGGCTCACCCAGCCCGTTTCCCCTCACGGCCTTTGTCCTGACTGCCCTCTGCCTTCCGGTTTTGGCTGACCCCTTCTCACCATTCAGATCTCAGCTTCTAGGTTACCTTCCCAGAAAGGCCTTCCCTGACCACCCAGGCTCTCACCCCAGTTTAATTCTGCATGTGTCTTATCAGTAGTTGACCTTGGCTTGTTAAGTGTCCATCTCCCCTACTGGGAGGTAAGGCCCATGGAAACAATGAGCTTGTTTTTTACCTGATTCATCAGCAGCCAGAACAGGGCCAGAATAGGTACTCAGAAAATACTGCATGAGCAAATGTCATTCCCCAATTTGAGCCTGTTTCCTCATCCATAAAACAGGGATAACAGAACATCTACCTCACAGGGCTAAGATTAAACGAGATATTCATGTGAGCCCCAGGCACAGTGCCTGGCACTCGGTCACCTGTGGTTAATAATACTGTTATCAATACCCTAATGGAATCCCCCGGCAGGAACTCGTGGGCAGGGCCAGCGGGATTCCCACACACTCCCCAGACGACCTGGTTCCAAGCAGCTGGGCTAATTGGCCCTGGCCCATTTTCTGTCACTGACAATGTCCTCGACATCTGATAGCAGAGAGAGGGTAAATTCAGGGATGAAGAGTGGAGGAGAGCATGCTTCAACTCAAAAGTTTATTAGAAAGGCCATGGACAGATGAACCCTGAGTAACCAGCTGAGGAAGAAATGAAAAAAGCCCCGCCCCTCATGGCCTGCCCACTGGCCTCCTGTGAACTCTGTCCCCTTGCCAACCCTGAAAGAAGTCAGCCAAAAAGTGCTTTCCACATCCTCTCTCTGGGGCTGCCCAGCGTGACCGCAGGGGGTCCACTGGCAGGGCCGAGGTGGATGCTGGTGCCTGAAGCTGGAAGCCAGCAGGGCGTGAGTCCCCTCCTGTAGTAGGAAGTAGTTCTAGAACCCCCAGCAGAACAGAACGGAAAAGGAGCTGATTGGGGATCGAATGAGTTCTGCTAAACAGCCAGAGGCTCTGAGAGAGGTGACACTGGACTGCCTTGGAAGTGTGTGCAGATGGCTACAGATGGCCAATCGTGGGGGTCCCCAGGGTGGGATCCCAAAACTGCTTTAAAGAGTCTCAGAGAACCCCAGTGTGACTCAGTTCCCCTCCTGGGGCTGCACTGGCTGTTCCTGCTCCCAGAAAGGCAAATGGATCTTGTAAAAATCCATGGTGGTTGATGCAATTTTTTCCATAAAAAAAGAGTTTGTACAGTGAATCTTTCCACCAGCAGAGCCTGAGCCGAGAAGAGTCCGTCCTGGGGAAGGAGAAGGCACTTCTCACACCCTCACTAGGGGTGGTCTGGGCTGGCAGCTTCCCCGGCCCCTCGGGTTCCAGCTCCCTCTGGCCCTGTGACTCCAGCCTGCTCCCTCTGGGAAGCATGCTGCCTCCATCAAGCTAGCACTGCCCTGCGGCCTGAATGCCTTGGTGCCTCACAGGGTGGTGGACGGCAACTTTCTCACTCGCCGCTGAGCCAGGATGGATGACTCGATGGGCTTCAGCTGGGGGGTGGGCTTGGAGCTGTTGAGTGCAGAGTATGTGGCTGCCATGGCTCCCTGAAAGAGAACAGTGGAAGGGGGAGGTCAGTTCACAATGGTGGGAGATGCAGCGGGGAGGGGATGCATGCCCCAAGGGTAGGCCAGCCCCTCTCAGTATTCCACAGCCCACTGTTTTTCTTTTTTTTTGAGATGGAGTCTCGGCTCTGTTGCCAGGCTGGAGTACTATGGCAAGATCTTGGCTCACTGCAACCTCCACCTCCCAGGTTCAAGTGATTCGCCTCCCTCTGCCTCCCAAGTAACTCGGATTACAGGTGTCCACCACCATGCCCAGCTAATTTTTGTATTTTTAGTAGAGACTGGGTTTCACCATGTTGACCAGGCTGGTCTCAAACTGCTGACTTCAAGTGTTCCGCCTGCCTTGGCCTCCCAAAGTGCTGGGATTATAGGAATGAGCCACTGTGCCTGGTCCCATAGCCCATTGTTAATCTAGCCTCAGTGGTCCTTTATGGTCATGGGTCCTGCCTCCCCCATCAGACAGGAGGGTTCAGAGGTCAGCAGCTGTGTCTTCCAGAGGACTGGGAGCTGTGAGTGTACTGTGACACTGGCAGTTAGACAGGCTCCCTTATGGCAGGGCTGTATCTTCCTCTCCTCATGGCATTTCACCTCATGGCATCCTTTCACCTCATGGCATTTTCTGGCTCTGCCCCAGTCCCTGATCATGCCACCTTAGGCTGACCTCCCAGATGCCCAGCAGCCCAAGGATGGCCATACCTTCACAAGCTGCAGGTCTTGATGGGACAGCTGGCTTTGGGGAAGCTTGTCTTTCTGGGTGACCCACGGATGCTGCAGAACCTGCTTGGCTGTGAGGCGCTGGTGGGGATCTACGTGTAGCATCTTGGACACCAGGTCCTGGGGACACAGTGGGCAAGGGGTTGGTGGGAGGGCTGCATGGGAGCAGGCCCCTGATGGGGCACAGGAAGACAACCATCTCCTGCTAGCTCCCGCCTGAACCCTTGCAGCAGCCCCTGTGATCCATTCTCCACTCTGCTCAGGGCTCCCGCACACAGCCAAGGTTCCTGTCTCCGGGCCTTTGCTGCTCTAGAACCTTCATCCTGGAACACCCTTCCATTTCTCCTTTACCTCCAAAAAGCCATGTGGGAAGGTAGGAAAATCCTCAGGTTTGGGCTTTGACAGACTCAGGTTCAAAACTTGCCTTTTGTACTCATCAATTGAGTGCCCTGGGCAAGTTGCTTCAACTCTCTGAGCCTCAGTTTCCCTGCTGAGAAACAGGAATAACCACACCCGCCTCACAGGTTGATGCCACACATAGAGGGCTCAACTCTGTCTGGAATACAGATTCCCAATAACCAAAAACTGTTGTTAATACTGGAAGCTCACAAGCCACCTCCTTGGAGGAGGCTCTGCTTAGTCTGCTCTGTGTCTCCATGGTCCACACCCCTGGCCAAGATGGTCCACCTATCTGGGCCGCCAGGCACTGCTGTTCCTTATGTGCCAACCTGTATCCCTCACTACACTGTTTCCACAAGGCCAGAGGCCGGGACTGTGGTTATGCAGCCCTCTGTGCCCTATAGGGCCCAGAATGAGAAGGGCCAGTGAATGATCACCAAGTTACCCTAACATGGTGCGGGGGTCATGGGGGTGGTCTGCCTGGGAATCTTCCACTTGGAGAAATACAGCAACAGGGATTTGTAGAACATCTACTTGGAGAAATGAGGCCGTTCACGAACAGCTGAAAAGCCCTGGGACGGGACCCTGCCTCCCTCCTCCAAATGAGGCCATGCAGGCCTTACAGACTCACCTTGGCTGTCTCTGAAACTGTGTTCCAGTTTCCCCCACTGAGGGTAAACTTCCCACTGCCGATGCGGGTTAGGATTTCCTCTGGTGTGTCACTGGGCCCGTTGGCAAATGGAGTGTATCTGCAGAAAAGCCCGCACAGTCTGGGTACAGACTCTGGCCTCCATCCTGGGGCTGGGGCTTGGTGGAAGACTGTGTCTCCCCACAGAAGGGGTGCTCCCAAGGTAGGACCATGTCTCTATTTCCAGACCATCCTGAGGCAGGGCTGGCTGAGCCTTTCCTATCAGACAAGCACCACCAGCCCAAATGCTAGGGCTGCAGGAGTGGGGAAGGGTCCAGGCCAAGGGGCACTCACCCCGCCAGCATGGTGTAGAGCAGAATGCCCAGGCTCCAGATGTCACAACCTTCATCGTAGCCCTGGCGCTTCAGCACCTGGCAACAGGGCAGGGCAGGTGGTCAGCCTGGGGGCAGCAGAAAGTTGCCACAGATGCTCCTGCTACTGCTCTCAAGGGCAGGACAAGGGTCTCAGCCACAGGCTAGATCTTCCCTTGCCAGCTGGGCCAAGGTCACAGAGACTGGAGCCCTGGCCAATGTGGGGCCTCTGGGAGAAGGCACAAGGCCTCCGGTTCCCCCTCTCTTATAGCTGAGGAGGCTGGGCCACTCACCTCGGGTGCCACGAAGTTGGCTGTGTAGCAAGGTGTCATGAGGAGCCCATTCTCAGCCCGCAGCTGTTTGGCAAAACCAAAGTCACAGATGCGCAGGCACTCAGGATTCCCGGACTCGTCCACGTACAGGATGTTGCTGGGCTTCAGGTCCCTGTGCACAACCTAGGGGCAGGGGGCTGGGATCAGTTCTCAGTGCAGGGAGGTGGCTAGTGTCCCAGGTCAGCTGCCAGGGATGAGAAAGTTACACAGATAGGGTGTGGAGAGATGGGAGCACAGACCTGGAATCCGAGAGAAGGGGAAAGGGCTGAAATGAGGGCCTTACTGCTGCTGCTACTGCCCACTTGAACTCTGTGTAGGTGTCCACAGGTAGCTCTAAGTCAACCTGTCCAAAGCTGAACTCCCAATTCTCCCAAAACTACTCATCACACAATCTTACCTCGTGGCAACTCCATCCTTCCTGTTACTTAGGTCAAAATCTAAAAAGTGTGTCATTCTTTTTTTTTTTTTTTTTTTTTTTGAGACAAGTCTCCCTCTGTCACCAAGGCTAGAGTGCAGGGGCAAGATCTCAGCTTTCTGTAGCCTCTGCCTCCCAGGATCAAATAAGTCTCTGCCTCAGCCTCCAGAGTAGCTGGGATTACAGGCACCCCCCACGATGCCTGGATAATTTTTTGTATTTTTAGTAGAGACAGGGTTTCTGACATTTTGGGCTGGATGATTAAAAAAAAAAAAAAAAAAAAAAAGAGATGGGGTTTCACCATGTTGGCCAGTCTGGTTCCAAACTCCTGACCTGAAGTGATCCACCATCTTGGCCTCCCAAGTGTTGGGATTACAGGCATAAGCCACGGAACCCAGCCCTATTTTCCTAATCTTTATAATCTATGAATATACTGCTTTACATTGATCTGTAGCATTTGCCACCACTTAACATAATATTCAATTTGTTTATGGAATCTGCCCACTGGCATGTAAACTCCATGAGTGTTTTGCTCACTGCTGTATCCCAGCAGTTAAACTAGCTCCTAGTACATGGCAAGTATTTAATGAACACCTGTTGAATGAATGAATGAATGAATGAATGACACTTACTGCTGAGGCCATAAGCAAACAGCTTTCCTCTGGGCCCTGCTTGCTCATCTCTAACTTGAAGGGGATGAACCACTCCACATTTCATTCTTATCCTTCTCACACTCCGTAAGGTTGTTTTGTGTTTTTTTGAGACAGGGTCTCTGTTGCCCAGGCTGGAGTACAGTAGCATGATCATGGCTCACTGCACCCACAGCCTCCGGCTCAAGTGATCCTCCCACCTCAACCTCCCGAGTAGCTGGGACTAGAGGTGTGTGTCACCACACCTAGCTAATTTTTGAAACATTTTTTTGTAAAGACAGGGTCTCGCTTTGTTGCCCAGGCTAGTCTTGAACTCCTGGGCTCAAGTGATCCTTCTGTCTGGGCCTCCCAAAATGCTGGGATTATAGGTGTGAGTCACTGTGCCTGGCCTGTACAGTTCTATTCATAGTCAATCCTCTAACTATCAATTACCAATACCTCTCAGATCTCTAACCCTAGTCTAGAACTTACCTGAGTCTTGGCTCATAAATCCAGCTGCCTACCACTTGGCAATCACGGGATGTTCCACAGAGCCTCAAATTCAACACATCCCACACTAAACTCCTCATGTCCTTATCTTCCTATTCCTTCTCCCCTGAGCTAATGGAACCTCCCTGGGCATTGTCAAAAACCCTGTCAAAAAGGCTCCCTACCTGCAAGACAAAGTCCCAGCCAAAGTCCCTCGCCTAACATGGGAGGCACAGCCATCATCTGTTCCAGCCTCATTGTCCATTGCATCCCCTCAGGTGCCCAGAGCTCAGGGATCAGAGTCCAGGGGCTCCTTTGGTAACAACCATAACATATATCTGTGGAATGCCCATACCCAGTGCAGGGCCTAGCACAGAGCAAACGCTAAGTGAACTCTGTGCAGAGAATGAACAAATCACACCTCTGAAACACAGAGACACCTTGCAGGTTAGATTAGTAGAGTTTTGCAGGTCAGTTTTTTGTTTTTTCTTTTTTTTGAGATGGCGTCTTGCTCTGACCCGCCAGGTTGGAGTGCAGTCGCACAATCTTGGCTCACTGCAACCTCCAACTCCTGGGTTCAAGTGAGTCTCCTGCCTCAGCCTCCCGAGGGATTACATGCGTGCACTACCATGCCTGGCTAATTTTTTTTTTTTTTTTGTATATTTAGTAGAGATGGGGTTTTCCCCATGCTAGCCAGGCTGGTCTTGTACTCCTGACCTCAAGTTATCCACCCACCTTGGCCTCCCAAAGTGCTGGAATTATAGGCATGAGCCACTGTGCCTGGCCACAGTTAGTTGGTTTTATTCAGATAGTCCTTTCACAGTCTCAATTGATCCCCAAGCCCTCCAGCAGCACCCGTGGAGCCTGTGAAGAGGGTAGACATGGCCCAGCACTCTGGGAGGCTGAGATAGGTGGATCACGTGAAGTCAGGAGTTCATGACCAGCCTGGCCAACATGGTAAAACCCCATCTCTACTAAAAAATACAAAAAATCAGCCGGGCATGGTGGTGGGTACCTGTAATCCCAGCTACTTAGGAGGCTGAGGCAGGAGAATCTCTTGAACCCGTTAGGCGGAGGTTGCAGTGAGCCGAGATCACGCCATTGCACTCCAGCCTGGGCAACAGAGTGAGACTCTATCTCAGAAAAAAGGAGCACAGTTCTAGGCTGGGTGCAGTGGCTCATGCCTGTAATCTCAGCAGTTTGGGAGGCTGAGGTGGGAGAATTGCTTGAGCCCAGGAGTTTGAGGCAACAGGGTGAGACCCTGTCTCTACAAAAAAAAAACTTAACAATTTGCCAGGTGTAGTGGCATGGCTGTAGTCCTATGTATGCAGGGTGGGGGTTATTGAGGAGGGAGGAGCAATTGAGCTTGGGAGGTCAAGGCTGCAGGGAGCCATGATCATGCCACTGTACTCCAGACTGGGTGACAGAGTGAGACACTGTCTCAAAAAAAAAAAAAAAAAAAAAAAAGAGTTAATATGTAAAGTGCACAGAACCCCGCCTGGCCTGTGGAAAGTGGCATGTAGCATCAGCACCATTAGCGGCAGTGGCAGCAGCATCTTCAGCAGCAGCATGAAATGATTTGTATTTAGGCACCTGTGCCTGGCCAAAAAAGAAGTGAAGTTGTTCTAAGTGAATCATCTGGTTAAAGAGAGAAGTCCTCTCACTCCTGCACCATAAGATGAAAAGGACAGACAACCCGATTTTTAAAAATGGACAAAAGACCACACCTGTAATCCCAGCACTTTGGGAGGCCGAAGTGGGTGGATCACAAGGTCAAGAGATCAAGACCATCCTGGTCAACATGGTGAAACCACGTCTCTACTAAAAACACAAAAAATTAGCTGGACACGGTGGCGCATGCCTGTAATCCCAGCTACTCAGGAGGCTGAGGCAGGAGAATTGCCTGAACCCAGGAGGTGGAGGTTGCTGTGAGCCGAGATTACGCCATTGCACTCCAGCCTGGGTAACAAGAGCGAAACTCCATCTAAAAAAAAAAAAAGAAAAATGGACAAAAGACTTGAAGAGGCATTCATAAAAGAGACTGCTCAAATGGCAGTACACATATGAAGAAGTGCTCTTCATTAATCACCAGAAAAATGCAAATTAAAACTACAATGAGATACCACTCCACACCCACCAGAATAGCAATGATTGAAGAGATTAAAAATACCAACTGTTGGCAAGTACCAGAACTCTCACACACTTCTGTTGGGAGTATAAGTTAGTAAAACCGCTCTGGAAAACCGTTTGGCAATATCTGCTAAAGATGAACACAAACACTCTGACCCAGCAATTCCACTGCTAGGTATATAACCAACGTTGAAATGTACATATGTTCACCAAAAGATAGAATGTCACAGCAACATTATTTGTAATCGTCAAAAATCTGGTAACCATCCGGTGTCTATTAACAGAATCGTGGTCTGTAGAGTTTTACACAGCAATGAAAATGAATGAATAGCAGTCACAAAACAACATAGATGGATGTCAAAGACAACACTGAATGGCAGAAGCCAGAGAGAAAAGAGAATGTTTTTATGAAATTCAAAATGGGGCCAGGCACAGTGGCTCACGCCTGTAATCCCAGCACTTTGGGAGGCTGAGGTGGGTGGATCACTTGAGGTCAGGAGTTTGAGACCAGCCTGGCCAACATGGTGAAATCTTGTCTCTACTAAAAATGCAAAATATTAGCGGGGTGTGGTGGCGGGTGCCTATAATACTTGGGAGGCTGAGATGGGAGAATTGTTTGAACCTGGGAGGCGGAGGTTGCAGTGAGGTGAGACCAGCGCCACTGCACTCCAGCCTGGGCAAGAAGAGCAAAACCCCATCTCAAAAAAAAAAAAAAAAAAAAGAAAAAGAAAAAGAAAAAATAAATTAACAAATGTGTAAAATGAACCTATTAGAATTTAGCTTAGGCTGGTTATTCTCGGGTGGGTGGGCTCTAGGAGAATTGAAAGGGCTCTGTTTATTGATCTGGGTACTGGTTACACAGTTATATTCACTTTTGAAAATTTGTTGACTTGTCGGTTATGATTTGTGTGCTTCTCGGTGTTTATGCAATGCTTCAATACAAAGACAATATTAAAACAAATAAGGGTCTGAATGGACCCTGCTCCCTGGTCATCCCCTTCCCATCTCAGCTCCTGTGGGATTCCCCATTTACAGACCACAGCTACTGCTGCTGACAAACCAACCCAGAGTAACCCCTCCAAATATCTCAACAAGAGCTTCCCATTCCTCATCATCTGCTCCGATATGAGCAAAGAGCCAGCAACTCTGCAGATACATACATTCCTAGCTTTGGGAAGGAGACCACTTCCTCCAAGAACATCCTCACCAAGTGGTTATCTATACTTGGAGCTTTGCACATCCCTAGTGGAAAGGGCTCACTGCTTCTGGAGAGTGCCTCTTCACCAAGTTCCTCTTTCCCTGAGCTTCAGGTGACCCACAGGTACACTGGCTTGCCTGTTTTCTAAACCTTCTTAAGTTTAATGAGTACTCAGTTAAGAACAAAACAGAAAAAGGAAACACATTTATTCTCTGACCTGACATGTTAAATATTAGTCTATTGCACTAGGATTTCAAAAACCAAAGCCACTTCAAACATGATGCACAGGGGATAACCAAATTGGAGCTTTGGGTTAAGAGGTAAAGTTCTTTTTCACAGAATTTCTCCTAAAAAATGAGACATAATCAGGCATTGCCACTTTGACAAAGGGTCCCATTGAAATACTCCACTCAGCCAAGATTCTGAAAGGATGAAACCATCAGATGAGAATCTTTTTTTTTTTTTTTTTGAGATGGGCAACTCTGTTGCCCAGGCTGGAGTGTAATGGCATGGTCTTGGCTCACTGCAACTTCCGCCTCCAGGGTTCAAGTGATTCTCTGGCAGCCTCCTGAGTAGCTGGAATTACAGCATGCGCCACCACACCCGGCTAATTTTTACATTTTTAGTAGAGACAGGGTTTCACCATCTTGGCCAGGCTGGTCTTGAACTCCTGACCTTGTGATCTGCCTGCCTCAGCCTCCCAAAGTGCTGGGATCACAGGCTGAGCCACCACACCTGGCCTAGATAAGGATCTTTACAATAAGGAGATTGGACGGTTACCGCCTGCCATGACTAAAGGGAGGCAGCGTGCTACTGTGGGCTTGTGGATGTGGTGCACCGTGGAAGTATGTGAACCTCCATGGAGGGGATGATCTTGGCCTTCTTTTTTATTTTTATTTTTTATTTGAGACAGGGTTTTGCTCTGTCATCCAGGCTGGAGTGCACTGGTGTGATTTCAGGTCACTGCAACCTCTGCCTCCCAGATTCAAGTGATTCTTGTGCCTCAGCCATCGGAGTAGCTGGGATTACATGCACACGCCACCATGCCCAGTTAATTTTTGTATTTTTGGTAGAGATGGGGTTTCACCATATTGGCCAAACTGGTCTTGAACTCTTGGCCTCAAGTAATCTGCCCACCTTGGCTTCCCAAAGTACTGGGATTACAGGTATGAGCCGCCAGGCTTGGCCCAACCTTAGCCATCTGAACCTTATTCCCATCCCCCCCACAAAGCTAAAGCCAATAATTATGTTAGAGCAACTTGCAGTTTACAGGCAATATAGGCAATGGAGAAATAATGTAAATGATGCCAGGAGGCAGCCAATGGACAAATTCAGAATGTGAGACATTCCACAGAACTGATATTCAATAAGTCGGTGGCAGAAAAAAGGGAGGTCTAACTCTGGAGGTGACATGGGTGTACACATTTAACAAAAGTCATCAAAATGGACCCTTGAAATCTACTGTATGTGAATTTTCCTCCAGGTTTTTTTTTTTTTCGAGACAGAGCCTTGCTCTGTCGCCAGGTGCCAGGCTGGAGTGCAGTGGCACAATCTCAGCTCACTGCAATCTCCATCTCCTGGGTTCAAGCAATTCTCCTGCCTCAGCCTCCCGAGTAGCTGGGACTACAGGCATGTGCCACCACACCCAGCTAATTTTTGTATTTTTTAGTAGAGGTGGGGTTTCGCCATGTTGGCCAGGATGGTCTCGATCTCTTGACTTCGTGATCCTCCCACTTTGGCTTCCCAAAATGCTGGGATTACAGGTGTGAGCCACTGTGCCCAGCCTTTCTTTTTTTTTAAAAAGTAAAATGGCTTACACCTGTAATCCTAGCACTGTGGGAGGCTGAGGTGGGCAATTGCTTGAGCTCAGGAGTTCAAGACAAGCCTGGGCAACATGGCAAACCCCATCTCTACAAAAAATACAAAATTTTTTGTATTTTTTTTTTGTATTTTGTGTGGTGGTGCATGCTTGTGGTCCCACCATTTGGGAGGCTGAAGTGGGAGGATCACTTGAGCCCAAGGTCGAGGCTGCAGTGAACCGTGATTGTGTCATTGCACTCCAGCCTGGGCAACAGAGTGAGACCCTGTCTCAAAAAAAGAGAGAGACTTATCCACTGAATGAAATGTGTGGACCTTGCAGATATTGTAATTTCAATAAATCAGTTAAAAAAGACGTTTTTGAAAGCACAACAGCGGGTGGGAGTGGTGGCTCATGCCTGTAATCCCAGCACTTTGGGAGGCCGAGGTGGGCAGATCACCTGTGGTCAGGAGTGTGAGACCAGCCTGGCCAACATGGCGAAAACCTTGTCTCTACTAAAAAATACAAAAAAATTTGTCAGGTATGGTGGTGGGTGCCTGTAATCCAGCTACTCAGGAGGCTGAGGCAGGAGAATCACCTGAATCCAGGAGGCAGAGGTTGCAGTGAGCAGAGATCATGTCACTGCACTCCAGCTTGGGCAACAAGAGCGAGACTCCATCTCAAAAAACAAAGAAAATATCATTCTCTGCCTGGCATTAAATATTTAAAAAAAAAAAGCTGGGCACAGTGGCTAATGCCTGTAATCCCAGCACTTTAGGAGGCTGAGGCAGGTGGATCACCTGAGGTCAGGAGTTTGAGACCAGCCTGACCAACATGGAGAAACCCTGTCTCTACTAAAAATACAAAATTAGCCTGGCGATGTGGCACATCCCTGTAGTCCCAGCTACTTGGGAGGCTGTGGCAGGAGAATCACTTGAACCCAGGAGGCGGAGGTTTCAGTGAGCCAAGATAGTAACATTGTACTCCGGCCTGGGCAACAAGAGCAAAACTCCATCTGAAAAAAAAAAAAAAAAAAGACAGTAGGAGAACTGTGTCTATGGACTGGGTACAATGTGAAAACAAGTAACAACCTCATACACCAAGACCTGGACTCAGCCACGTGGACTCTGGAGCCTGCATTCTTAACCCCCACGCTGTCTGATCAGGAGTACCCTAAAACACCTCATACAGAGAGAAGCTAATGCTACCGTTTTAAGCTTGAATACACTGTAACGAACTTTCCTACCTCACTGGCATCTAGTGCTCACCGGCCTTGTGCAGTAATGAAGGCTGAACTCTGCCATTTGGACCTACACCTCTTCTGCAGTCCCTGCTACATTTCCAGCAGAATTCCCTCCAGCATGCATTTCCTCTGCCTTAGCAACTGAACCCATAGTCAAATTCACCTCCCTGAAGCCTTGCAGCTCCCCCACAGTGAACCTGATGCTTCCTAACTCAAAAGCCACTTCCCACCTAAATTCTTCAGTTTGAAATCCTTCCATTCTTCCCTGGCTATGTGACCTAGAGCAAATGACCTTTCATCTCTGACCTCCAGTCTTCTTACCTATGAAGTGGGGCCAATAATAGCATCTATCTCAGAGCTGTTGTGAAAATCAATTGAAATAATGTAAGGAAATTTTATCTTATTTATTTATTTATCTTTTAGACGGAATTTTGCTCTGTTGCCCACACTGGAGTGCAACGGCATGATCTCGGCTCACTGCAACATCCACCTCCCAGGTTCAAGCCATTCTCCTGCTTTAGCCTTCTGAGTAGCTGGGATTACAGGCGCCTGCCACCATGCCCAGCTAATTTTTTTATATTTTAGTAGAGATGGGCTTTTACCATGTTGGCCAGCCTGGTCTTGAACTCCTGACCTCAACCGCCTGCCTTGACCTCCCAAGGTGCTGGGATCACAGGTGTCAGCCACTGTGCCTGTGGAAACTTCATGTTACGCTAAATGTTTCCATGGTGACTGGCACACAGTAGACACTGAGTAACTTTCCATACCTTCCCTTTCACGATTTGGCCACATCTCTCCCTCCCTCCTTTGCACGAATCCACCCACACAGCCCTAGTCTCCCCTCAGTTTAGTTGGCTGGAGGCTGCCATTCCTGGGCCAGTATGTGGTTCATGTACTCTGCTGATGGTATAACCCTTGGCATTCCCCTACCACCTCCCCGAATCCAGACTCACCCCCTGTGAGTGCAGATACTCCACAGTTTTGCCGATGGTGTGCAGGACGAAGCTGGCTTCCCGCTCCGAGAAGAACTTCTGCCGCAGGATCTTGTCCAGCAGTTCCCCGCCCCGCATCAGCTCTGTCACCAGGTACACGTGTTTGCCATCATCATACACCTGCCAAAGACCTCACCATTAGGCTCTTCTCCCCAGTGTCATGCCTGGGCATCCTAGTCAGCAGCATCCGAGAGCAGGGAAGAATGACATGAGCCTTAGGCATGTGCTCTGCTGTGCACTTCAGTGGCCCTGCCCTCCCCGAAAAGAGGATGCTGACACTGGTCCCCTGATAGGCAAGAAGGTCTTCAGAAAATGCTTGAGTCTGAAGGAGGGCCCTTGGGGTATGGCCAGACTGCAGAGACCAAGGGTCCTCCTTCACCTTCACATGAGCACTGGAAGGAGGATGAGAAGTCAAAGGAATGGAAAACCTGAGACAAATCCTGGAGAGTTAAGTTCCTGGTCCCCACCCCAGTCTCAAGGACCCCACTCACATCTTTCAGAGTGATGATGTTGGGGTGCTGGCCGTACCGCAGAAGAATCTCAATCTCTTCTGAAGGATCCCGCTTGCTCTTGTCAATGACCTGAAGAAAGGGGCATGCACATGGCAGTGTCAGGGTGACAAGCTCCAGGGTCCTCCCCTGCTACAGAGGAGCAGGCCTGGAGGTCTCAGCCACACACCTTTCATCCATCTGCTGAGCTCAGGCACCACCCCTCCCCGCCAGATGGGGACCTGCCCCCAGCCCGGCAGCCTTGGCTGAGACATGTTCAGGAGGCCCACCTTGACAGCATACTCCATGTTGGTGGCCTTGTGGACACAGCGCTTGCACACAGAGTAGGAGCCCACACCGATTGTCTCCTTTACCACGTAGCCATCACTAAAAACCACGTTCTTCCCATGGAGTTGCTGTAGGAGACCAAAAATTGTGGCTGACCCCTGGCTCCAGAGTGCTAGGGGTCATCCCACAGCACCAAGGTCTTGGCTCAGTAGAGATGGCAACAGGAAAGAGCCAGGAGGCTTGGGGTGGAGTACTGGCAATGTGACTGCAGGTGAGAGCCTACCCCTCTCTGGGCCTCAGTTTTCTTTTTTTTTGAGATAGAGTCTTGTTCTTTTGCCAGGCTGGAGTGCAGTGGTGTAATCTTGGCTCACTGCAACCTCTGACTCCGGATTCAGGCAATTCCCCTGACTCAGCCTCCTGAGTAGCTGGGACTACAGGCGCGCACCACCACACCCAGCTAATTTTTTTATTTTAGTAGAGATGGGGTTTTACCATGGCCAGGATGGTCTTAATCTCCTGACCTTATGATCCACCCTCCTCTGCCTCCCAAGGTGCTGGGATTACAGGCTGAAGCCACCACGCCCGACCAGTTTTCTATTCTATATGATGGGCATACTCGCTGGCTCCCAGCCTGCCTGGACTGCAGCCTGTGGTCAGAGGGCAGTGTAGGGAGTGGGTAAGAGGGTCACAACATACATGGAGAGGTCTTTCGTTCTAAAAAGCCTGAGGAGGCCTGGAAGGGATGTAGGAGCCCTGAGCTGAGTTCCAGTTCTACTACTAACTATAGCTTTGAGTGAGTTGCCTCCCCTTTCTGGGTGTCACAGCTCATCTCAAGGTTCTGGGACATTAGCTATAACAATGCTCAATGGTGCTTAGTGTGTGCTGTGTTCCTGGTACTATTCTAAGCACTTTCATCAGGTGACTGCACGCCCCATGGATAGCCCTGGTTTGAGCCTGTAGTCCTTGCATCCAGTCTGATTTAGTATTTGTCCTGGATAAAGAAAGATGTCCCAGTTTGGAAAATAAATGACATAGTCACTTTAACTTTATTTTTAAATTTTATTTATTTATTTTTTGATACAGAGTCTTGCTCTGTCACCCAGGCTGGAGTGCCATGGTGCATTCTTGGCTCACTGTAACCTCTGTCTCCTGGGTTCAAGCGATTCTCGTGTCTCAGCCTCCCAAGTAGATGAGATTGTAAGCATGCGCCAACATGCCCGGCTGATTTTTGTATTTTTAGTAGAGATAGGTTTCACCATGTTGACCAGACTGGTCTGTTTAAAATCCTGTCTTCAAGCAATCCACCTACCTTGGCCTCCCAAAGTGCTGGGATTACAGGCATGAGCCACCATGCCCAGCCCACCTTAACTTTACATGTATTAACTCTGATAATCCTCATAACAACTCTCTAGAGGAAGCTTCTATCATTTCCCCCATTTACAGATGAGGAAACTGAGGCACCAGGAAGGGAAGTGTCTCATCCAAAATCCATTATCTGGCCAGGTGCTCATGTCTGTAATCTCAGCACTTTGAAAGGCTGAGGTGGATGGATCACTTGAGGTCAAGAGTTTGACACCAGCCTAGGCAACATGGTGAAACCCTGTCTGGACTAAAAATACCAAAAAACAAAACTAGATGGTGTGGCGGCGTGCCTCTGCAGTCCCAGCTACTCAGGAGGCTGAGGCAGGAGAATCACTTGAAGCTGAGGAGGAGGTTGCAGTGAGCTGAGTTTGTGCCACTGCACTCCAGCCTGGGCAACAGAGCAAGACTATGTCTCTTAAAAAAACAAAAAAAAAACCCAAAGTCCATTATCTTGTGAATCTGGAACCCATGCAATGAGCTCTGGAGTCTACATCCTTGCCTCTCAACCCAAAACTTCCATGAAGCAGTGAAAGTGTAAAAATGGGGAACTAGTGTGAAGAGACACAAGTCCTTTGCCACCCTCCTGCCAGAGACATGACAGTCACTCTGCACCACCACCCTGGGAACCCCCTGGCATATACCCAGACCCTGGCCTTGTGCTGGGAAATGTATACCCATATCATTATCCAATGATCAGGGCCACCGTGTGGGCCTTACTGTCCCTGTTTTATGTTGGACGACCTTCAGGTCCCACAGTGGCATGAGGCTATGAACCTGGTTCTGTCGAAGTCAGAGCCTGTATTCTCAGCCATTCTGGTGGGGAGCTAAAAAAGGAGAATGGATCAGAACCCCCACCCCCTCACCTGTACCACTGAGTGCAGGGGTGCCTGTGGGGCGCGAGGCTTGCCATCATCCTCCATCAGGCCAGTGGCCACGAAGCTGAAGCCCCGGAACAGCTGATGGGCCCCAGCGCTAGGCGGGATGCCTGGGGAATCTGTAGGGACGGGAGGGGAATGTGAGCCTGAGGAGGTACCCTCCACCCTGAGCCAGCCCAGCAAAGGGGGAGCACAGGGCCTCCAGACCTGCCTCAGTAGCTGGCCATCGTGGGAGCCTGCAAGAGGCCCGTCCATCCCAGACATTAGCCTAACTGCTCATATGTGTTTAGACCAGTCCAGTCCTGACCCATGAGGAACATAAAAGACTCCCACCTCCACCAGCTGACAGTTCACCCCTTCCTGGATATTCCTCCCCAGCTTCCCTGTCTTATGTCAGCCCCTTCAGGTCTACCTCTGCACAGCAGCCAGAGGGAAGGTTCCAAGCACAAATCTGTCCCCCTACCTGCACCTTTCAAAGGTTCCCCTCTGCTTTTGGGAGTAAGCCCAGCTCCTGAGTCTGGCAGTGGAGAGCCTTGTGACCCTCATCTCTCTCTCCCCGCCACAGCTGAGCCACGCTGGACTTCCCAGATCCTTAAAGGGATCTCTGACCCTTGCATACACTGTTCCCTTTAACTCATCCACTCCTTGCCTATCCTTCAAGACAGCTCACACGCTCCTCCTTTGAGAAGCCTTGGCTGACGCTCCTCTGGTCCCTGACCCCCCATGAAGCTGCACCTGTCACACTGCCCAGTGGACTATGTGGAGAAGTGCTGAGCTCCCGGTCATCAGAGATGTGCAAGCTGCAGTGAGAAAAGCACCCCCTCTCCTAAAACATGCCCTAATGGGAGGCCTCCCAAAACTAACACTCTACCCACAACCCACTGGCAATATCTGGCCAGAAAGTTACGATTTATCAGGCTCCTTCCCAGAAGTTCCCTCACTGGCGTCTTGCAGAAACCCCAGGGACTGCATGGGTTTGTAGCTGTGCCCTTGTTCCAGATAAGTACACTGAGGCCCAGCAGTCAGAGCAGCCAAAGCTGATTCCCATGCCTGTCCCTGACCTATGGGCTCTGTCACCTCTGCTCAGCCAGACTGTTTCCACCACACAGTGTGGCTGAGTCAGATTCCTTACCCCTGACATGATGGTAAGTGTGTGTGTTTTGTCTTCACCATGGGCTGGAAGGTGCCCGGGGCAGAGGTCTTGACTTTTCTACTGTGGCCTCCACCACCCACACCCCCCACTCCCACTCTCACCAGACACAAAGAGATCCACAGAGCCCCAGAGTGAGAGAGTCAGGCAGAGTGAGACAAGGACAAAGTCAGAGTCCCACAGAGCCAAAAACTCACCCACCTGCCCACCCACACACCTCAGCCTGTCACTGTCCCTATCTCTGCCCCTCAAGCTGCCACCGACTCCCAGCTTCCCTCTTGTATCAGCTCAAGACAGACAAAACAAATAAGGGACGAACCCTTGGGTGTGCGGGACGTGAACTCAGTGTCAAAGTAGAAGGTGTCATCAGGCTGAGCCACTGCTGGCTTGAAAGGTGGCTTGATCTCACGACGGTACAGCTTCTACACAGTGGGGTGGGCACTCTGGTCACCACAGCATCCCCAACAGCCCACCGGGAGTCCCAGGCAGGAGGAGGTGCTGGGCCTGGAACATAGGCCATGTTGCCCAGCAGACAAGGGCATGATTACTAGCCCTCAGGAGGCCAGCCTTGTCTTCAAGGGGATGCTGTTACCCTCTGCTCCTGCAGCTGGGGCCCTCACTGGCAGAGGCTCCCCTCCCACCACCCTTCCTGTGGCCAAGATGGCTGGAGGCCTGGCCAGAGCCTTGGCATGGGTGGACACACTCACATTCCAGTCAATGGTGGAGTAGAAGACATGCCGTTTGATTTCCTCTGCCCCATCAGGGCCGGAGCCTGAAAGAGCCCAAATGAAGGGTCTGTCCCTGGATGGTGCAACTCCCAGACACCACCCTGCCCACCAAGCAGTCTCATAGAGCTCTGGGACCAGCTGCTGGAGCAGAGGGGAAAATGGGCTCACCCTGCCCGAATCTGCCCAGCCATCACCCTAAGGCCTGGCACCCATCAGCATTTTCCACTTTCTAGAGCTTCTGAAGAAGCTCCAATGTACTAATGGGAGAAGGAAGGCTCAGAGAGTTTAGGCAACTTCTCCAAGGCCACACTGTCAGGACAGAAGCTGAGCTTGTTCTGAGACCTACAGAGAGCCCCACCTCATTCCAACGCAGGCCCCATCTCTGTTCATCTTATCCCATTGACCTTTTCAACCATGGATCAGGCTATCACTCCATTTGACCCCAGGGGCCTGGACTGGACCTTACGTAGCTGGTCATGAACCAGATGAACCCAGGAGCCAGGGAAGTCAACACATACTGAACACCTACTACATGCCAGGCGTGCTCACGCAACCTCATGTAATCAACAGAGCCCTGAAGCAAGCTTGGGATCATCATCTCCCATTGAGACGAGGGACCTGGGGCGCAGAGAGGTGAAGTCACCTGCCCAGAGTCACTTGGTTTGTAAATGGCCTCATTTGTTTAACAAATATTTATGGAGGGACTGCTTCGTGCCAGGCAGTAGGGACCTGACACAGAGGCGGGATTGGGACCTGCGCCTTCTGACTCCTGAGCTCATGCTCTTCCTCTTGTGCCAGCAGCCTTGGCGGAGAAGCTGTGTGGGGGCCTCTGTCCTTGTCCCCAGAGGGAGTAGGGATGACTCAGTTCCTGCCTTCCCCCTACACACAGGTCAACCCCCCGCTCCACAACACCACACATGGAGCCAGAAGGCAGGGTGGCCCGCAGCATTGTCTGCCCACACAAAGGACAACGGCCCCTTTCAGCCCAGATGTGGCCCCGTGGCCTAGGCTGCAGCTGTACCCAGCTCCCCACCGCCACATCCCCTCCCCTGAGCTGGGGCTACTTACCGAGCCGGTTGGCAGGATTCCGCTTGAACAGGGCCCGCAGGAGGCTCTGGGCTTCAGTGCTCAGAAACTGGGGCATGCCTAACTTCGCCCTGAAACAGCCCCCGGGACTCATCAGGGCTGAGCCCCACCCCAGAGGCCCCATCTTCCCCCAGCCCTGTCCAGGCCCAGTTCCCAGCTCAGTCTAGACAAGCCATCCGCTAATTTACTTCCCACAGAATTCAGGGAGCCCACCCACAGGCCCCCATGGAGGAAAGAGGGGCTCTGGAAGTTATCATCTTTTTTGTTTTTTGTTTTTGGAGATGGAGTCTCACTCTGTAGCCCAGGCTGGAGTACAAGTGGCGCAATCTCAGCTCACCGCAACCTCCACCTCCCGGGTCCCAGTTCAAGCAATTATCTTGCCTCAGCCTCATGAGTAGCTGGGATTACAGGCATGTGCCACCTGTAATGCCCAGGTAATTTTTGTATTTTTAGTAGAGACGGGGTTTCACCATGTTGGCCAGGCTGGTCTTAAACTCCTAACCTTGTGATCCGCCTGCCTCAGCCTCCTAAAGTGCTGGGATTACAGGCGGGAGCCACTGCGCCCATCCTGGAAGGTGTAATATTTAATCCAGAGGAGTGTCTCATTAGTGAGGGAATCTGAGGCAGGGACAGGGTAATATTCTGACCCCGACTGGGCCGCTTGGGAGAGTCTATTGTTGTTTGTTTTTTTTTTGAAACAGAGTTTCACTCGTTACCCAGGCTGGAGTGCAATGGCCCGATCTCGACTCACCGCAACCTCCACCTCCTGGGCTCAAGCAATTCTCTTGCCTCAGCCTCCCGAGTAGCTGGGACTACAGACGTGTACCACCATGCCCAGCTAATTTTTGTATTTTTAGTAGAGACAGGGTTTCACCATGTTGACCAGGATGGTCTCGATCTCTTGACCTCGTGATCCACCCGCCTGCAGCCTCCCAAAGTGCTGGGATTATAGGCGTGAGCCACTGCGCCCGGCCAGGAGAGTCCATTGTTATCAGGGCAGGGCTGGGGCTTACTTCAGAATCAATGTCATGGTCTCCTTCCGGTCCTTCCCCTGGAAGGGCAGGGAGCCCGTCAGCATCTCAAACTGCAGAGGACAAGGGTCTATTTAGGCGCTGATCCCTGACTCCCCCACACCTCCCACCTCCTCCCATCTAGGCCCCTCTGCCCTAGTCCCAGGATCATCCAAGTCCACCTGGAGCAAGAATTATGTCTGTCCCTCTTGCCTCAACAACCAGATCACCAGGTAGGTGCAGCAGTGGGGGCACGAGGCTGGGGAGAAGCCCAGCACTGAGTTAGGCGTGTCCCAGATGGGGTCAAGCCTGGGATCCTTCCAAGAAAGAAAACTGCAGCTGCGTGTAGGGTGAGGCCAGCATGGCTGTGAGAGGAGACGAGGAAAGCCCTAGAGATGATCAACCCCCTCACTGTACAGACGGGGAGACTGAGGCCAGAGGCTTGGGTGGGATCCTTTATCCCTGTCTGGGCACTCACCATCAATACCCCATAGGACCACCAATCCGCACTGTGGGAGTGGCCCTGGCGGTTGACGACCTCGGGGGCCATGTACTCCACTGTCCCGCAGAAGGAGTAGGCCTTCTTCTCGTGGTCAATGGCCTCCTTGCTCAGGCCAAAGTCTACAGCAAGGAGGGCAGGAGGACACATCTCAGGATCCCTGCCTTCCTTGCTGACACCCATTGCACACCCAACCCCTGTGCCCAGAGGCTGGAAGGCATAACCCTCATGACACTCAGGAGGAAGCTAAGGCCCTGAGAGGTCAGGTGACTTCCCCAACGTTACACAATGAGGGGCTGAGATTCCAACCGAGGGTGTTCCAAGTCTGAGGCCTGGGTTTCTGACCACTTCCAAGTAACTGGCACAGCCTCTCGGGAAGAATGAGCCCCCAGCACTCAGCCCAGACCTATCAGGACCTTGTTCTGCCCTCCCCTGGGGCCCAAAAGGGCAGGCGTCCTCCACTCACCAGTGAGTTTGATGTGACCCTCCTCATCCAGAAGGATGCTGTAATAGAGGAATGGGGGTCAGGGCCCCTCAGCTGTGGCCACTGTGTGGGTGGTGGTGTCACCACAGGGCTGTGGGAGCTGGGCTCAGCCCAGAGGAGCTGCTCCGCCCAGTTCTCCCCGATGACCGGGTGGGTGTTGCAGGGTGATGGCAGTGTCATGCAGGTATGTTGCCTATCATTTTTGCTAATTCTTGAAACAACTGTGTGAGGTAGGTACTATTAGGGCTCCATTTTGCAAATGAGGAAACTAGGGCTCAGGGCAGTTAAGTAGCTCTACAGTCATGGAGCTGGTAAGTCTAGCTAGTAGGTGGAGACAGGATTTGAATACAGGGCTGCCTAACACTAAAGCCAGATCTTATTCCCCAACTCACCACCTGCCCCTGGCTCCTTAGTTATCATTTAACTATATATATATACAGACACACACACTTTTTTTTTTGAGACAGAGTTTCACTCTTGTTGTCCAGGCTGGAGTGCAATGGCACAATCTCAGCTCACCACAACCTCCACCTCCCAGGTTCAAGTGATTCTCCTGCCTTAGCCTCCCGTGTAGCTGGGATTATAGGCATGTGCCACCACGCCTAGCTAATTTTATATTTTTTGTAGAGACAGGGTTTCTCCATGTTGGTCAGGCTGGTCTCAAACTCCTGACCTCAGCTGATCTGCCTGCCTCAGCCTCCCAAAGTGCTGGGATTACAGGCATGAGCCACTGCACCTGGCCAAGGATAGTTAGCTATTAGGGAAAATTCTAGAGGGTTATATCAAGGAAAGACCTTTAAAGGTAGCAGCATCTCAGATGTCACACTAAATTAGCAAAAAAGGTGGGAAACATACCTGCTTGGAATGTACCTGGCCCTTGGTAATGATAGCATTAGTGACTGGGCAGCTGCCACTACCACCCACCCCACTCACCCATTCCTCAGATTGCCCAAGAGAGGGGGACGTTCCTGGAGAAAGCCATGTCCACCCACCTCAGGATGGCCCTGTTCTAGAAGAGGCCTCCCCTGGGGAGACTGGGTGGGGATGGAGGCTTCACTCACTTCTCAGGCTTGAGGTCTCTGTAAATGATACCCAGGCTGTGCAGGTGGTCCAGGCCCAGGGCCAGCTCGGCCAGGTAAAACTTCACATCCTCTTCTGTGAACATCACCTGCAACAGACAGGAGGGGGCTTCAGCAGAGACCTCCTTTTCCTTAAAAGCTGGGCACTGGGTAGTCAGCAGCTTCCTGGTCCTGAGGGGCCACCCTGGGAGGACCCAGGCCATTTAGCCTTCTTGTCGCAAGAGGATTTGAAATATGAAATGACTAAGCTGCAAGTCACTCATTGTGGCATTGTTCAGAAATAGAAAGGGCTGGAAAAGCGGGAATAAGCTGTCTCTCCTGCATAATGGAGTGCTTTGCAGCCATTACCTAGAACAAAGATTTTCTCCATGTCCTGATATGGAGCGAGCTCCAAGATATACTATCTTGAAAAAAATCAAGGTACAGAACAATGTATATAGAATAGTACTTTTTACGTAAGAAAGTGGGGGTAGGAATTCAGAACATATATCGAATTTGTTTGCAAAAGAAACATGGGAAGGTTAAACAAGAAACCAATAAAAAGCTCAGCACAGTGGCTCACACCTGTAATCCCAGCACTTTGGGAGGCCAAGGCGGGTGGATCACCTGAGGTCAGTTCGAGACCGGCCTGACCAACATGGAGAAACCCTGTCTCTATTAAAAAAAAAAAAAAGAAACCAATAAAAAAAATGTTTACCTATGGATGAGGATAGAGGGGCTGGGGTGGGAGGAAGACTTCTTCATGAATATTTTTTTATTTTGAATCATATAGATTACCTATTCACACATTAAAATAACAATTTAAAACTTTTTTAAAAGTTGGGTTCTCTTCAAAGTCTGAATTGTATGAATGGTCTCATTTTCTAGCTCAAATCCTTTTCTACTGGTTCAAAATCCTTTTGGATGACATGTGGGACATGACTGCTAGAGTCTCTGGCTCTCTGGGTGACTTTGGGCTTCTCCTCAATCTTCACAGCTCTGTCCAGAGCAGCCCTGGAAGAATGCACGTGCTTAGGTGAGAGGAAACCTTAGCTCCCCAGAGTTTTGTTGGGAGAAACTCTCAGTGGCCCTGCCAGCATATGGCCTCCATCCCAGGGTGAGTGGTATTTCCTAGGCCAGGGGCTGCTAGGCAGGCCTGGGTGGTTCCAGGTTCAGGCCATATTGAACACATTCTGTACAGGGCCCTGGATGGGCCTTGTCGTTCCCCAGCTCTATCCCGGGGCTCTTTGGCAGTAGATGTCAGCTCACCTCTTTTGAGAGCCGTGTGAAGAGGTCCCCACCACGCAAGAAGTCCAGAATGAGATAAAGCTTGCCCTCGGTCTGGAAGGCTGGGGAGAGGGAAAAAGGCAATGGTAGAGTCAGTGGGACCTTGTGACCTGCTCCTCCAGCCCGGTCTCCCTTGGCCTGCCAGGCAGGCGGTGGGACAGTGTACAGACCCACAGGCAAGGGTGAAGGATGAGTGGGATGGGGCCTGCAGCTTTACCATAGTGCAGCTTCACCACAAATGGGTGGTTTACATCAGCCAGGATGTCTCTCTCCATCTTGGTCCGAACGCGGTCACGTACTGAATAGACAAGAAAGGAAGTCACCAGGAAGCTAGACACTCAACACAGCCACTCCCAAGTCCCTACTAAGGGCTCTCTTTTCCACTTGTTCCTCCACATCTGAGCTCCTAAGGCCCCTTCACTCAGGGCTTTGGGGACACTCAATCCTCAGGTTTCTTCCTTCCTTCCCAGGAGCCAGGTAGGCTCTTTGCCCCCACCCCTCACAGCAGTGCCCACAGCTGGGGCCTTGGAGCCCGGCCCATTGCTCTGGTCCCTTCTCCCACCACTCCCCATCAAGGGCTGTTAATCAGCCAGTCTGAGCAACCTGCTCCTCTGGGTGCCCTGTTTTTTCAGATCCTCAGACTTTGCCTCTGCACCTCGTCCTGGCATGTCTTCACCAGCCCCGCTCTCCATGTGGCATAAAAATTCCCAAATTCTAGTCTGGAGGCTGGTAAGAACAGCTACCTGGGGAGCTAGAGAGGCAGATTTCCTGGGCCTAAAATCCTGAACCATGCATAGATTTGTGTCTGGGTGGCTACCCTTCACATCTGCTTTTTTTTTTTTTAAAGAATAAAAGTTGTGTGGTCAGGCAAGGTAGCTCATGCCTGTAATCTGAACACTTTGGGAGGCTGAGATGGGTGGATCACATGAGGTCAGGAGTTCAAGACCAGCCTGGTCAACATTGTGAAACCATGTCTCTACTAAAAATAAAAAATTTGCCAGGTGTGGTGGTACGTGCCTGTAGTCTCAGCTATTGGGGAGGCTGAGGCAGGAGAATCGCTTGAACCCGGGAGGTGGAGGTTGGAGTGAGCTGAGGTTGTGCTACTGCACTCCAGCCTTGGTGACAGTGAGACTCTGTCTCAAAAAAAAAAAAAAGGTGTTGGGCAGTTCTGACTCTCAGCAGGTTCTTTGACTCAGATCAGGCCTCATCTCCTCCAGGAAGCACTCCTTAATTTCCCAAACTGAGTTAGGGTCTTACAGTGTTTATGCTTCTCCTTCGGAGTACTTTTCTCTTTTTCAGGTTGCCTTCTAAATTTATTGAAGTCCACCAAGCATCATGTTTTACTGATTTCACTAGTCTGATTAGAACAGGCTTTTGGGCTGGGCGCAGTGACTCATGCCTGTAATCCCAGCACTTTGGGAGGCTGAAGCAGGTAGATCACTTGAGGTCAGGAGTTTGAGACCAGCCTGGCCAACACGGTGAAACCTTCTCCCTGTTAAAAATACAAAAATTAGCCAGGCGTAGTGGCATGTGCCTGTAATCCCAGCTACTCAGGTGGCTGAGGCAGGAGAATCGCTTGAACCTGGAGGGCGGAGGTTGCAGTGGGCCGAGATCGCACCACTGCACTCCAGCCTGGGCAATAGAGCAAGACTCCATCTTGGGGCGGGGAAACAGGCTTTTGGACTTGGCTGCCTAGGTTCATTTTGGGTACTGTGTTTCAACTAAGGTTACCACAATGATGATACGTGGATTATCCTTTGACTGAGACCTCTCACATGCCCTCTGACTTTTTTTTTTTGAAACAAGGTCTGACTGTCACCCAGGCTAAAGTGCAGTGGCACAATCTTGGCTCACTGCAACCTCTGCCTCCTGGGTTCAAGCGATTCTTGTGCCTCAGCCTCCCAAATATCTGGGACTACAGGCGCAAACCACCACACTGGCTAATATTTGTATTTGTAGTAGAGACAGGGTTTCACCATGTTGGCCAGGCTCGTCTTGAACTCCTGACCTCAAATTATCTGCCCACCTTGGCCTCCCAAAGTGCTGGGATTACAGCTATGAGCTACTGCCCTGGCCTTGACTTTTATTAAAAAGGGATGCTGGGGAGTGCTTACTAAGACCAGAGAGAATTTCTGAGCAACACACAGTGCAAAACTAAAGCCTTGTTTTGGTCCATGTACTGGATTGGCAGTTTCCTCCAGAGCCTCACAGTCCCAAAGATTCCACTAGTCCACCCATCTAGTAGGAATTCTATTCATTAGTCACTGCCAATCCAGAATTGATGCTCATAGCTGCTTATCTTAGGAGACCTGGCCAATGTGCTCCTCCTGCACGTCTTTCCAGAGTCTTGTACCAGACACAATCCTTGGGTCTTGCTACAAGCAGAAGCTGCAGCTGCCTTCCAACACACCTTCCATGTGAGCGCCAGGGCTGCAGGAGCTGGCTCCCTCAGAGCACTTTTCACTTCAGAGGCCCCTTCCTCTATTTTTTGTATTTTCCTCACTAGATATGACAAGGACCACACCAGAGTTCACTATTTTAGTCACCTTACATTTTCTTTCTTTCTTTCTTTTTTTTTTTTTTTTTGTGATGGAATCTTGCTGTCATCCAGACCAAAGTGTGGTGGCACGATCTCAGCCCACTGCAACCTCCACCCACCAGGTTCAAGCAATTCTCATGCCTCAGCCTCCTGAGTAGCTGGGACTACAGGTGCACCCCAGCACACCCAGCTAATTTTTGATTTTAGTAGAGACAGGGTTTTGTCATGTTTGCCAGGCTGGTCTCAAACTCCTGACCTCAAGTGATCCACCCACCTCAGCCTCCCAAAGTGCTAGGATTACAGGTGTGAGCCACCATGCCCTGCCTACCTGACACTTTCAAACCACCTCTACACTTCAGCTCAGGCAAAAGCTTCTCCTTCCCAGGCTCCCCTTCCTCGACCATTTTTGGTCTGGAGAAGTCCACTCCTCCTTTGGGGCTTACTGCTCCTTAGGTGTCCGCGTGGCCTCTGGGCCCCCCCCCCCTGCGAGGTGGCCCCACCACTCCTAGCTCCTCAGCCCGTTGACATCCTTGCATACCAGTCACAGCACCAGCTGCAGGGCACCATCTGGGCTTAGCTTCTCCTGCCCAGCCTGTGAGCTCTTCACAGCAGGGACCCAGGCTTTCCATCTTTCTCCTCCCTCTGAAGCTCCCACCATACCTCCTGGCGGATGACTCCCATCCCCACCAGGCTGGCCTTAAGATACCAAAGCCAGCCATAACACCCTTAAAGCTGACACCTCCTACTGCCCCCACTACCTCCCCAGCTAGGACTTGGCTCTGACTGGGATTACAGGTGTACGCCACCATACCCAGATCTTTTTTTTTTTTTTTTGAGATGGAGTCTCTGTCGCCAGGCTGGAGTGCAGTGGCGTAATCTCAGCTCACTGCAACCTCCACCTCCCAGGTTCTAGCAAGTCCCCAGCCTCAGCCTCCCAAGTAGCTGGGATTACAGGCATGCACCACCACGCCTGGCTAATTTTTTTGTATTTTAGTAGAGATGGGGTTTCACCATGTTGGCCAGGATGGTCTCAATCTCCTGACCTCGTGATCTGCCCACCTTGGCTTCCCAAAGAGCTGGGATTACAGGTGTGAGCCACTGCACCTGGCCTTGACTTTTATTAAAAGGAGACTTGGCAGATGGTCAAGGAAGGGCAGTTGGCTCTGACTCCACCGGGTCGTTGATCACACTGGCTCCCAGGCCAGGTGGTCAGTGCCCAACCCAAAGCCCACTACCGACTATCCTCACACCCTTTGTGAGTCCCCAGAACTCTAAGCTTGACTTGGGCTCCCTTCTGAACCTCTCTGCTATCCAGCACTGTGGTCCTGCTTGGACTCACCCTCTCTTGCCTTGCCCAGCTGCCTCCCTGGGCTCCCTGCCTCTTTACTCATGCCGTTCTCTCAGGCCCATGAGTTAGAGGCCACAGAGGTCTCCCTCAGACTCTTCTAGCATCATGAAGCAACCCTGCCAATAGTCAGAACGCCTCTGCCAGACCAGCTTGGTATCTGAGGGTCCCTCCCCTGAAAAACACATTGCATTTATCCAATTTTTTTTTTTTTTCAGACAGAGTCTCACTCTGTCGCCCAGGCTGGAGTGCAGTCTCCGCCTCCCAGATTCAAGCGATTCTCCTGCCTCAGCCTCCTGAGAAGCTGGGATTACAGGCATCATGCCTGGCTAATTTTTGCATTTTTAGTAGAGATGGGGTTTCACCGTCTTGGCCAGGCTGGTCTCAAACTCCTGACCTCGTGATCCCCCCGCCTCAGCCACCCAAAGTGCTGGGATTACAGGCGTGAGCCACTGCGCCCAGCCATGCATTTATCCTATTACTACCTTCCAGACCTTCACAGCCAGTCATTGGCACTTGGCTTAGGGGAAGGGGATTGGGTGGGGAGGGATGGCTGAGACATAGGCCTGTCTCTCCGCTTTTGAACTAGGTGCTCTGAAGACAGAGCTGTCTTCCTTGCCAGAACCAAGGTCCCTGAAGTGTGGGCTGCCTCCCTCAGCCCAGCCTGGGTTCTGCACAGGGAGGTGTCCCTACTCACCTTTCAATGTCGCCTTCTTCAGCACCTTCATGGCATACAGGTGCCCACTGTCAGGCCGGGTAACTTTCCGCACCAGGAAGACCTGAGAAGGCAGAGCAGGAAGCAGGGGATAAGATGGGAGATGGGAGAGGGCTGAGTCCAGGCTGGAGTGCAATGGCGTGGTCTCAGCTCACCACAACCACCACCTCCCAGGTTCAAGCGATTCTCCTTCCTCAGCCTCCCAAGTAGCTGGGATTACGGGCATGCGCCACCACACCCAGCTAATTTTGCATGTTTAGTAGAGACGGGGTTCCTCCACGCTGGTCAGGCTGGTCTCGAACTCCTGACCTCAGGTGATCTGCCCACCTCAACCTCCTAAAGTGCTGTGATTACAGGCGTAAGCCACCATGTCTAGCCTCTTTTTTTCTTTACTTTTTTAAGACAGAATCTTGCTCTGTCACCAGGCTGGAGTGCAGTGGCGTAATCTCGGCTCACTGCAACCTCCACCTCCTGGGTTCAAGTGATTCCCCTGCCTTAGCCTCCCAAGTAGCTGGGACTACAGGTGCCCACCACCACACCCAGCTAATTTTTTGTATTTTAGTAGAGACAGGGTTTCACCATGTTGGTCAGGATGGTCTTGACCTCCTGACCTTGTGATTCACCCACCTCAGCCTCCCAAAGTGCTGGGACTACAGGCATGAGCCACTGCGCCTGGCCAATGACCTGTATCTTCTCTGAGCCCCAAGCTGACCTTTTTGCTCTCCGTGGGTACCAAGGTGACCTCTGATACTTTGGGCCCATAGGTGAGCCTTGATCCCCACCTCCAACATGACCAACGTTGCCTTCACAGCCATGGGCTCATGACTCACTTTGCCGAAGGATCCCTGGCCCAGAACCTTGAGGAGCTCGAAATGGGATGGATCAGCCTTCTCAGAGCCAGCCTTGACGTGGTGCGTGATGGAGATCTCCTTGAGGACGCCCTCATCCTGATGGAGGGATAGAGCTGGTGGGCACAGTGGGCCCCATCTGGGCAGCAGGAGGCATATCCCCCCTGCCCAAGTCCCTTCCCACCAGACCGCAGCAGATGGGACCTAAAGGCCCAACAGATGACTTCCCTGAAGGGCTAGCCTCCAGGGACATCAATTTCAAAAGGGCCTCAAAGGTTGGTGAGGTCAAACCAGAAAAGGTACCACTCCTATTGCTCCTGATGCTCTGGATGGCCCAGAGGGATGCCCAGGCATGGCCAGGCTCAGCTAACCCGACTTGGCTGAGACCCAGAGACCTGTCCCAGGTCTGCCCGTGGGGCTTCCCTCCCCCTGCTGTTTTAGTTTTGCCACAATAGGAAGTAGGTTTGTTCTCATATGGGGAGGTAGAGCTGGGCCTTCATTCCTGGTCAGGATGGGAAGAGGGATCCCTCTGGTCAGTAGGACAGGGCTGAGGTGCACAAAGACCCAAGAGTCACCCAAACTCCCCCATCGACTTGGTCAGCGCTGGCCTGGGGCAGGTCAGAGTTAAGGCCGGAGATTGCATGGCTCATCTTCCCAAACTTCCCTCCTACAAACCTATTAGAAGTGCCTTGCCAGAGCCTCACTGTTCCAGGACTCTAACCTCCCTCCAATCTGCTGGTATTACCTTGAAGCCCTCAAGTGCCTCTTCACCTCCCCAGGAAGCAAGTCTGGGCAGGGTCCAGTCACCCCTGGCAGGGCCAGGACAGACCAAAGCCAACTTGCATTAAGCTAGCTTCCCAGGCACCTGTGCGAGGGACACAGCCAGGCCAGGACCAGACATCCGGGCACACTCACCAAGTCCTGCTGGGAGCCAGAGCCAAGGCCAGGGACAGGCAGAGAGGTCTGGCTGATCCTGGGCCGGTGCTTCCTGGGCAGCCAGGGGAGCAGGGCCCAGAGCCGCAGACGGGGCGGCTTGGGATCCTGCTCCATCCGCCCAGCAGGGCCACAGCACCATGGCAGGAGCAGGCAGCGACCAGGGCTGCCGCGGAGGTGGCCCGGACCAAGGCGGATGTGCAGGGTAAGGGCGGGGGCTGGGCCCGGCCCAGGGCAGCCAATCACTCAGGGTCTGTGGTTTCCCAGCTCCAGGCCTACACCCTCACCACGTTCCCTTCCTCTCTCCCCACTCCCCAGTGTCTGAGGGCTGCCCTCTGGCCATTCCCCCATCCTCCCTTTGCAGAGGCCTGCAAGGGGAAAGCCCCCTGCCAATGCAGCTGCTGAGCAGACAGGTACCCAACAGCAGATAGGTACCCAACAGGCAAAGACAGATGCCTGATTTGTGGAGGCAGACGAAGAGAGACACCCAACAGGCAGAAGCAGGCACCCAAGAGGTGGAAACAGATAAGAATGGCATCTAATAGTCAGGGGCAGGAGGGAACACATACCCAACAGGCAGGGATGGATAAGGATACCTATCCAACAGGCAGAGGCAGGAGAAATTCATACCCAGTAGAAAACAGATGGAGACATGTACCCAACAAGAAGCAGCAGGAAGGGACTCATATCTAACAGACAGAGGTGAACAGAAGCTCATCCCCAATGTGTGTAGGCAGATAGGGGCACAAACCCAACAGGCAGAGACAGAAAGGGACATGTACCCAACAGCCAGAGACAGATGGGGACATGTACCCAACAGGCAAAGACAGAAGGGGACGTAAACCCAACAGGCAATGACAGAAGGGGCCATGTATCCAACAGCACAGAAACAGATGGTGACATGAACCCAACAGACAGAGGCAGAAGTGGACACGAACCCAACAGGCAATGACAGAAGGGAACATAAACCCAACAGGCAGAGACAGAAGGGGACAGGTACCCAACAGGCAGAGACAGAGGGGACATGTATCCAATGGCAGAGATAAATGAAGACATAAACCCAACAGGTAGAGACAGAAGGGGACATGAACAACAGGCACCTAACATGTGACATGTGCCCAACAGGTGAAGGCAGGTACTTATCAAGTGGAGACAGAGATTGTAATCCAACAACAGACACAGGTAGGCAGCAAAGAGAAACAGCCAGTGTCAGTGAGGCCCAAGTAGACTGGCAGACACCTAGGACAGATAGGTCTGATGCCCGGCAGACACACAGGCAGGCAGGCAGGCAGCAGGGCAGGGATCCCCAGGGAGGGGTTAAGCATGGAACTGTGGGTTCTTGCTGCTGTACTTGGGGTGGGGAAAGAGAAGAAGGGGCACAGTCTGCAAACTCAAGAGAGCAGTCTGATATTTCTTGGAGACCCACCTCTGAGGTTGTCTGTTTCCCTAGGATTTTCCTCCTATGCCAGGACCTGAGGGGGTCCAGCTATCGGCTGAGAGGACTATCTCCTGAGTGCAATCTGATATCCTTAACTCTGATCATATCCTAAAAACAGTTATCCTCATTCCAGGAACAGGAAACTGAGGCCCAGAAGACAGTGACTCACCGAGGCTCAAAGCAAACAGTGGCAGAGTCAGCTTGGACCCAGGCACCTCCCCTGCTTCTGCCCGGCATGGGGTCAGCAGGCGTCAAGTGCCAGGAAAGGGTGGGCAGGTAAGTCACCCAGAACCACATCCTGCCATCACGTCTGCTCAAACCCCCTCCTCCTTCAGCACTAGGGTCCATCTGGGACCTCCCACTCTAGGTCCTGGCCCTCGGAGACACAATCTTATCTCAGGGGAAGATACCTAACCCTCTCAGATGGAGGAGTGGGTAGAACAAGCCCACAAAAAAAACCAGAAAGCTGCAGTCAAATCAGACCCCTGAGTGTAACCTCCTGGTGAGACGGGCAGAAAGCCTGGCTCAGAGAGGGACTGAGAGGGGCCAAGGCCACACAGCAATAACTGCACACCCCACCCTGAGATCTGAGCCCCACCTCATCTGGCTGCCTCTGACTGAGAGCACTCCCTGGGGACAGAGGCAGGAAACCACCCGGAAACCCCAGGGGACAGAGCCACCCCTAAACCCATTCCTTGCCCAGAGTCACAGTGACAGACACTGCTGGAGACAGGCCACTCTTCTGCTCACCTTTCTGGGACAGGGAACCAAGTCTCTCTCAACCCTGGGGAAATCTGCCGGGGTCTGCATGGTGGGGCTCAAGCCAGTGGCCAGAGGGCCCTGTTACTCGTTTTACTTCTGCTTTTTTTTTTAGCCTTCCTGGCCCAGAAGGCAGGGTCCCTGGCCCCCCTCCTTCTCACTTCCCTCTGCAGGGAGGAGGGACAGAAGATGGATCAGGCTCCTCTGCAGAGGAGAGGACACTGCAGACCCCAAGCCCATGAGCCCAGGACAGGTCCAGGGGCATGCTCTTCCCTATGTCCTCTGACTCTAAGGAGGAGAGACAAGAGCAGAGACAGAAGTCACAAGGTGATAAGGTGGTGACACAGTGAGCATCTCAGCGCCCGCAAACATCCACATGGGGGAGGGGGAGCGTGAGAGAACGTGGGGCAAAAGTCAGCAAAGGCTACTGTCTGACTGTCCAGCCCAGAGCTTAGATACTACATCCCCCATAGCATCCTTCCCTGTCTAGACCCGCCCAGAATGGCAGCTGAGAAAGCAGGCACCAATGTACCCGGCCCCGCCCTGCTCAGCTGCCCTGAAGAAGGCTGCCAGTACCAAGCCCCAGGATGGGCGAGGTGGGCAGAAAGCCCAACCAAGAACCTCTCAGACCTCTGAGCAGGAGGCAGCTATGGGGCAGGGGTTGACCAGGCCCAGCCCCTTTCCATGTGGCCTCACTTCATCACTCACACCAGTACAGCACAGGAACTGACATGCACACAAACACACACTCAAGCTGATGGTCAGAAACCCTGTCCACAGACAACCCTATGCAGAAATACACGCCCCCATGCCTCCACGACTTCCCCTTCTCTGTCCTTGCAGTGTCTTTGCGGGTGGATGCTGCTGGGAGATTGTGAAAGAAGCTTCCCTCAGGCCAAGCCTCTCATTGCTCTCCAGCTTCCTCTGACCAGTTTGGAGGCTGGGGCAGCCCTCGGAGCCCCAAAGCTCATCGTCCCTACCAACCCCTGGTCCCTCAGATGCAAAGAAAGAAGGTAGAGAGGTAGCTACTTTGTGGAAGGAGATTCTCCAGTCACAGGCGGAGATACACCAGGAGCCTGGTGCACACTAGCCTCTGTGGCCAGCAGGGTACCAGAAGGGGCAACAGGAAGGAAACAGTCTCAGAACTGCCTTTGCTTAAGGCTATGTGGGCCATGAGGCCTCTGGTGGTGGGAGGGGGGAGGACAGCCACCAGCCCACATCCCTTGGTCCCTGCCCCATCCCCCCATAGGCACTTCCTCTTTATTTACTTCCTCCTACAGGGCAGCTGGAAGAGAAGCTCAGAGACCCCCAGCCTGATCCCTGGTCTCCAGGGTCCCCACCCTGCCAGCTGTAGCCAAGCCCACCTGCTAATCCTGGCCCTAACAGACACCAACAGCCCCTTCCCCAGCTGGCAACATTTTCAGGGCCCTCCCTCAGGTGGGAGAGATGTCCTCAATGCATCTTCCGGCATGCCTCCAGGCAGGTGAGGAGGGGTCCACAGCTCCCTGGCAGCCTTGAGGGGGAGCCGGCCTCCCACACTAGGTCAAGATTGACATGGAGAGATGCTAGCAAGTGTGCCTCCTACTGATGGAGCAGTTACTGCACACAGCCTTTGTTTTTGTTTCTTTCTTTTGAGAGGGAGTTTCACTCTTGTCACCCAGGCTGGAGTACAGTGGTGCGATCTCAGCTTACTGTAACCTCTACGTCCCAGGCTCAAGTGATTCTTGTGCCTCAGCCTCCAGAGTAGCTGAGACTACAGGCGCACTCCACAATACCTGGCTAATTTTTCTGTATTTTAGCAGAGACAAGGTTTCACCATGTTGCCCAGGGTGGTCTTCAACTCCTGAGCTCAGGTGATCCGCCCACCTTGCCTCACAAAGTGCTGGAATTATAGGTGTGAGCCACTGTGCCTGGCTTTTTTTTTTTTTAGGACAGTTTCTCTCTGTCGCCCAGGCTGGACTGCAGTGGTACAATCCTGGTTCACTGCAGCCTCTTGGGCTCAAGTGATCCTCCCACCTCAGCCTCAGGAGTAAGCTGGGAGGACAAGTGTGCACCACCACACCTAGCTAATTTTGTTGTTGTTGTTTTTTGTTTGTTTGTTTGTTGTTTTTTTTTTTGAGACGGAGTTTCGCTCTTGTTACCCAGGCTGGAGTGCAATGGCGCGATCTCGGCTCACCGCAACCTCCGCCTCCTGGGTTCAGGCAATTCTCCTGCCTCAGCCTCCTGAGTAGCTGGGATTACAGGCACGTGCCACCATGCCCAGCTAATTTTTTTTGTATTTTTAGTAGAGATGGGGTTTCACCTTGTTGACCAGGATGGTCTTGATCTCTTGACCTCATGATCCACCCTCCTCGGCCTCCCAAAGTGCTGGGATTACAGGCGTGAGCCACCGCGCCCGGCACGACCCTAGCTAATTTTTTAAAAAAAATTTTTGTAGAGGCTGGGTCTCCCTGTGTTGCCCAGGCTGGTGCTGAACTCCTGGGCATGGTGGCCTGCGCCTGTAGTCCCAGCTACTCTGGTGGCTCAGGCAGGAGGATCACTTGAGCCTAGGAGGTCAAGGCTACAGTGAGCTGTGGTTGCGCTACTGGAGTCCAGTCCGGGCAACAGAGGGAGGCCCTGTCTCAAAACAAAACCAACCCAAAAAACCGCAACTATCCCGAGACATCCATAATCAAGGTGTGTGGGTGCCCAGAAGTGGTGACTATCTGCCAGTGGGTAAGGTCAGGAAAGACCTTCCAGAGAGGGGCAGCCCACCTGGGTCCTGAGGATGAACAGGTGCTGGCCAAGGAGGAAAAAAGACACTCCATGTAGAGAAAGACCTGTGTGAGCAAGAGGCTTAAGGCCAGGAGGGTAGGGTGGGAAGTCAGAAGAACTGGCCACTCACTAGCTGAGTGCTCAGGGCAAATCTCTTTCCCTGTCTGAACCTCAGTTTCCTCCTCTGTAAAATGAACATCAGAACAATATGCTCCACTCTCAGATTGTTTCTAGAAGCAAAATGGCCACAGAGACAAGGGGATGTTGGAAACAGAACTTCTCCCAGGTTTACGTAGATAGTCTTGTGGGGTCTCCTCTGAACAGGCTGAAGGGACAGAGCCCAGCCACAGGGTCCCAGGTACTAGGAGGGCGGCTAGCCTTCTCTGGCCAGGCCAAGGGAAGTTCCTCCCAACACCTGAGGCTGCCCGAGGCTCCCTGAAGTCCACAGTCACATCCTGCCTAAGCTCTGGCCAGGGGAGCATGAGGGATCCGGGAGGGATCAGGGTTTCATAAACAGGAAGAGAGGAGGGGAGGGGAGATGCTCAGCTCTCAAAATAGACCTGCAGGCGCTGCAAAGGGGTCCAGCTCCGGAGATAGCTGGGGGAGGGGGCCTGGGATGCCCAGTTCACTCCCAGGAAGGGAGGGAGGGCAAATGGAGCCCTGGTGTGCCTGAGGGTACCAGGTGCTGAGGGAATCCAGAGAGTTCTCACCCTGGATGGCTGTCCACACTATTGCTCCTAAAACCCAAATCCCAAATCCCAAATCCTACTTTCTGCCTGAAATGAATAAAATAAGCAAGCATTAAACAGCGATATTGTGCCACAAGCCCTGTTAGATACTTTAATTTATATATACCACATTCTTGGGCCTGAGAAGTAGGTGTTACTCTCCTTTAATTTTTCAGGAAAGAAATCTCAGCAGGGCAAGTGACTTGCCCAAGGTTACAAGGCAAACAAAAAACACGGGCAGGATTCTGAACTCAGAATCCCTGACTCCCTTCCCTGACCCTTTTCCACCTGGAAGGCCCAATTCTTTCTACAGCTGCCCAAATCCTGCCTTTTGAGGCCCAGCCAAATGCCAGCTCTACAGGGAATGTGGCCTGTGCCCTAGAGCCTACCCCAGCTCTTCTTCCTCTGCCATGCACAACAATGACCACGTCCACACTCAGCCCTGAACTCAGATGCCATAAGCTGGGTTTCCCAGGAACATGCTCATCTTGTCATGCTAGAGAGAAATATTGGCACCTGGAAGGTGGTGGTATATGTGTCTGCCCAACACAGGGCGTGGCACAGAGCAGAGTTTCTGTGTGCCCACAGCTGTGCTCTTGCCCCATCATAGCACCTACCACATGACTTTCCTGTCTCTACCCTCTGCCCAAAGATTGGGAGTTCCCGGAGAGTGGGGGATGCTGACTTCATTTTAGGACCTCCCGTGTACCACAGGGTGCACTGAATGTCTGATTAAGGATAACGTGGCCCATTGCCAGCTCATTCCACTGCACAAAGTGATGAGGTCCGGACCACACATTGAGCGCCCCCTGGTGTATTAAGCCCAGAAGTGGGCATTAGGGACACTGGCAGCTGGGGCGACAGACGGATGAGCAGGTGCCCAGGACTGGTACCCCTTGGGATCACAGAAAGCCAATGTTCCTCCTCTTCAGCACTCAGGATTCTCTGGATTGAGAAATGACCCTGAAGCCAAACAAGACTTGACTTTATTGCCCACCAGCTATGTGATGTCCAACCTCAACTTTCTCATCTGTAAAATGGGAATAGTAACAATCTACCTCCGAGGATGTAGTGACAACTAAATGGAAAGCCCCTGGTATGACGCCAGGTATAGGTTAAGTTCTTTCCTGTCCCATCCACCTCCAGGCCTGTCTCCCTTCTCACCCCAGGATCTTCTGCTCTACAGCAAGAGTCATAGGCTTGGAAGCAAAAGGTTACCTGCCTGGGAAACTCCTGCCATTTCCCAATCAGTCCCTCTAGTTCTTGAGGTGAGAAGCTGTACTCAGCACAGGTCCCTAAATGCTGAAGGTCCTCTGCAACCCCCAGAACCTCAGCCCCGAGATCTGAACACCCTGTTTCTTCATTCGGAACCTACAGCTTCTTCATTTTGTTACTAGGCAACAAGAGGTAGCTACTTTGTGGGAGGAGATTCTCCAGACACTGCTG